GAGGGAGAGAGAGAGAGACAGAGAGAGACACAGAGAGGCCGCGAACGAAGAAAACGGGCCACAGTATATAGCGAGGCGGAGGTTTATCGTTCCATCGATTCCCTGAAATTCTGCTCTATTTCTGTCATGTAAACGCTTCGTTCCCGCCACATATGAGCACGCATAATGCGTCACGGCACGGACGTCCCCGTTTCGAGAGCACACCGCAAAGGTAATAGCCTCCTTTAACCGGCACGAAACCGCTGTCGAAGCGTTCGGGGAAAAACGCGCGTCGGCGCAAACCTCTGCTCCGTTTTGCTCGTCCGATTACGAGCATTATCGATGATGATCGACCCTCATTGAAGTTTCCACCGCTTATTCTGACCCTAAACGGAAGGTTAGCGATGAATGAAATTCAGCGGACAGCGAAACATTGTGTTAAGGAACAGTGCGTAACTAGACACGTGAATGGCGAGTATTCTGTTATATATTGATATTATCGTTTCATTTGTCATCCCCTTGTACTGTTACTTCGTACTACAAGTATTTCGAAATGAATAAACATTTGAAAACTAGAAAGAAAATTGAAATAATTACGAAACGCGCTACAACGAATTCAACGAAAATTCTTGTAACAACTAATTTGTCAACCTTGACTTGGAATCTCTGCAACGTACGCACACATTTTTCCAGATCCACGGAGTTGTTGTTTCTTTACGGGAATGATAAAAATGGTGATGTTTGATTTCCTCGTTGAAACGACCGATTCAATCGCATTCCGACGTTCAGGGAACAAGGACCTCGGCTCCATGCGGCTATTATTTAGCCAAGCGTTGCCAGAGAGGGTGGAGAACGAGCGAATAGGCGAATAAGCGAATAAGCGAATAAGCGAACCTGCGTGCGAGAGGGAAAGAGAAAGCGAGAGAGAAAGCGAGTGAGAACGCTGTCGGGGTTAAGAAACGCGTCGTGTCGTGCGGCTCGTTCGTGCATTTAAATGCAAAACTAAGAACTCGTTCGTTACCTCAAAGTCCGAGGCGAATACCCAGGGAGGAACGATTGCGATCGGTAGCATTGAATTGCAGATCGACCGCGAATGCAAATATGTCACCCCGGCTATCCGCTTCAACGTTTCGTGGGAAGAAAGAGCTTTTCACGGGAAATCATTCGACACTATCGATCCCTATTTTCTTCCAAATTGAATCGCTCGGATAACACGTGTAATACAGCAAGTTCTTCTTTAAATATCTTCTTTCGAACGATACACTGAATCGACAACCGACAGAGTGTTGATGTGCTAATCGATGATAACAAATACACAAGTTAGTGCTGGTCCATCTTTGTTTTTCACTGATTCGAGAAGGAAAATGTGAACCTATCAGGCGTAAAGTCGGCGGAATTTTACTGGGTTTTCGAAACATCTCTCATCGGGTTCATCGCTTGTTACCTAAGAGAAAAGATGTTGCTTACCCCAATAGCTGGTTATTCCTTAGCGCAAGCATCGCGGTCCAAATATTTGCCAACGAGAAGATCGTGGCTCGATCTCGAATGGTTTAGAGTGGATTTTGCTATTAACCGCGGCTTGCAGCTAATTGGTTGCACGAACGAGTCACGAAACGCGGCTCTAATCGTCCATTTCCGACACCGTAAGAGCCGGTTTCACTAAATAGGGGAGCTGAACCACCCCCCACCCACCCAGCTCGCGTTTCATCGCACGACACGGAAAAATTCCACTTTATCGATTGTACAACATTATCCTCTTTACTATCGCTCATTATCGGCGATATCTACGCGATTAGAATTATCGACAGGCCTTGAAAGGTCTAAAGGAAAGATAAACGTCTCGTGAGGAATTTTTATGTTTCATCCTTAGCCTTTCTCGTTTGAATTTCATTGAATTCGATGGAAAATATCCGTGTGTGAAATTTCAATGAAAGAATGCATACTAAACGGTGCTATTAACTACTGACAAGTAGTTGACGCATACAACAGATTTCTGACTTTTCTCATTTTGAATTGAAGGTATAGGACACGGTTTGTGCACTTGAACTTTTACGGAGCTTCACCTATTAATGTTGAATCTATCTAATGGAAAGTACCTTTGGAAAAATAGTTAATAATAGCAGAATGCGTCGAAAAGGAAGAATGGAAATGAACGCGAGAAGAATGGTAATATAAGCCGAAGAAGAAAATCTGTGTAACTCGAATGAAACATTCAAGTAAATGAAAATGTCTGCAGTTCGTATGCGAATTGTAATTCTGTACCGCAATATTTATTGTAATTGGAAACGACTGTATATTAGATACAAGTCTGGGGAAATTGAGGACATTCGACTGTAGAAGTATAAATACATCTGGAGAACTGAACTGAGACGAATTAAAGCTGAATTGGACTGGAATAAACTGGACCAAAGAAGAAGATCGTGTAACAACTGATCATCCATGGTTTCGAAGAAACCTCTTGTGATCCCACGCTTTTCGTCAGGGATATGCAGTCGAAAGATTAACCGATAAACAATTCTTACTTTGAATGTTCCTTTTTCTGTAAAAATCAATAGAAATTTAAGGTAAAAGCTAATTTATAGATGAAAAAGATGTTGTTGATTTCCGTATTGTTTGGCCGGATTTGATGCATTTATACAGTATGTCCGTTCGAACGGAAAAGTTCAAAGTGTCAAGGATGATCAGTGGAAGATGAATGTGAACTTACAAGTGCCCTCGCCATCGGCGTCCACGCGCCAGCAATAACCCGGATTAACGAGCTTCCGGGAAGCGGTGGCCGGATACTGCCATCGTAAGGGTTTGTTGCTGAGTGCTTCATGATCGGATTCGACCCGGTCAGTTTCGATGTTCACTGGACTCTGCCTGGAACCGGCGGCCATTGGGAATTTCGTCACCCATGTGCTGGGGCCTGCAATGGAGTCAAACGATTGTCGATCAATCGACTGTTTTGCAATTCACTTAAGAGTATTATTCTTTTTAATTCCGATGTACCTAAGTTGACTGTTGTTACTGATTCGTACAATTTCGAAATTTCTTTCTAGCATCCGTAGAATCCTGACGAGTAAGTTTCCAGAATCAGTTAACGGGATCGATTAATCATTACGCGGAGATCGGACGCGCGCGTCAAGTTGAGCGCTTCGGAAGCGTTGTCACCGTTTCACGATCTTTATCTCGATCGGTCGGTGAATTAATAAAACCGCACCTCCGCTCGAAGGCTCGGTGAAATATTCGTCATCAAGACCACGATATCTTTCGATAATTTCGAACCGACTCGGATCTACTCGAGCTAATCGTTGCAATCGGTAAGAAATAAAACGCAATTATCCTGGGTCACGCGATCAATGAAATTACGATAAAATCGTCGTGTTTCCATTAGTTTGAATTGTCGCGACATTATTTGAAACATATTTGGACTGTGCGTCGAAAGATTCGAATGTTCACGGCAAGTATCGCGAAATCGTAGTGCTAGAGAATTTTCACGTCATTCGTTCCGTCGCGTTCAGTCGCTTCGGAACTGGAATGTTACGGGGACAAGTGACAAGTGAATGATTGCACCAGTAAAGTATTCTGCGAAGACCAAGACCATCATACGAAGAATGTTCCCTTCGAAATAATAATCTTTTCTAATTGATAACATTTGTCTCGTGATCAGGAGGGGTAGGTCACATTTCATCTTGACCGTGATTCTTTTTCATTTTACGATGCACACTGCGTTTCGTAGGTGGTATATCGTGAAACCTCGGAAGACTCGAGTAATCGTTGTTTCTAACGATGCGTGCACAGAGCGATGCGTACCGGGGTAGCGGCCAGTTCGGCCTAAGCGGATGATGCTTCCATCGAATCGTTTGTTCTGTCACTCGAAGCATCTTTACTTCAATCCCCTATTACTTCATACCTTGGCGATGACTGTAAGCACGATTAAATAAAAAGTCCCGTTCAGCCGATCACGAGTGAAACATTTGCACGTGAGTCGATACTAATTTGTAACAAGTGCTCCTGAGAAATCACAGCCATTTGAAATGACGTTTTTCTTACGAATAGATGAGAAAATGAGTGCAAGTATTTGAAAAATAGGAAAACATGATAAATGACGAATTGTAAATGAGAAATGACGGACATGACGCAGACTTGGAAACGCCTAACCGGACAACTCGCGACGAGACCGTAGAATGTTGAAACGGCGTGTGTTTGCCTCGCGAAAACATGGTTGGCGCTATCAGCACGTGCCGCGTACGAGAGAAACACAACTGTACCGCGCGCGGAGACGTTCCCTTTATCGGGGCAGCGGGCCGCGTGGTTCACAGCTGCGAACCCCGGCACGTGATGCGATGACATAATCGCGCGACGCAACCGCGATTATGCGCGCCGCGCGACTTACGATCGTCGCACGCCATTAATACGCCGAGTGTCTCCCGGGTCTATTCGATTGACCCTGATGGGTTCGAGTGCACCGGCATGGAAGTGCATCCGACTCTCTGATTCCACCTTCAAGGGCACGGTAATCTGATTATTCCTGATCGTTTATCTCATTCTCGCCGATATTTCGTAAAGGAATGCTGGCTTTTTCTTCTTTTCCTAGGAGATGTTGCGATGCGCGGATATTCTTGCGGAACATTCTTTGCTAGTCCCTACTGCGACAGATTTCGAGAATCTGTTGCTCTCTATTTAAAATAGAGATTCGGAGAGGTTAGAAAATTCAGTTTCTCTCTCGTTTTAAAGCGTCCACTGTAACCTACAGGTTGTCCACCGTAACCTATTCCGAGGTCACTCGAGATACCATGTATACATCGGAGAAACGTCGCGTCGGTGTGAGTCTTGAGTAACACCGATATGGGACTCGATACGAGACTCCCATTCTTGGAGACCGAAATAATCCGTCAATGGGTTGCGATACTTCGAGATCAATGGAAATACAGAAGACGGGACGGATTTCTGTCGGACGTATTTGCAAGTGGACGTGTCATGGAAGGAAAAAGGAGGACGCGAAATGCTTGTTCCTATTGACCGCGATCACAGAGCCCGGCCATGCTCTAAGGAGAAAAATACCGTCTGGAGGCCGTCGAGATCTGTTCGAAGGTTCGTTCAACCTTGCCCAACGAGCCACGAGAAAACGAGAGGCACAACAAGTGCGGCGATTCAAGAGCGTGCGGGGAATTTCTCCGCTGAACCTTCGACTTCTCGACTTCTTTTTCTCGACTGACCTTCTCCGCGGCTGCAATAATTATATTTTCGTCGAGTGTACATGACATTTCAACTATTTACTTCAGTATTCCGAAAGTTGAAGCGACTTTAATGGAATATTCGTTAATCGTCTTTATTTTCGCGTGCGATAGACTAATCGAATCGGAGGAAGAACGGTTCGCAGATACTCGACGAGAGATGAACGGAATGGTTAATTGCATTAGCAGCTTTGGCCAGATTCAAGCGTCACGTTCGACTGTGGCTATTATTCTGTATAGGAAGTCGGATGTACGAGTAAGCAACAGCCACGCCTTTTGAAGGCCGGTGAACATAGAAAATGCGCGCGCGGTGCTTCTTTTGCCGTTCTTTTGTTCCGTATTCGGCTATGAGTCACGAGGCGATTATAAACGAGGCGCAGGTTAAGTCGTAATATTAATTCTCCTGTAAGCAGATGCCCTTTAACCCACGTGCATGAAGTTAAATGTATTATTCGAACCAAATTTTTCTGTGCTACTGTTTAAACAACAATTTAAGTACAATTGTCATGAAAAATATGGAAAATGCAAAATATGTAAGAAATGTAAGAAATGTAAAAAATAAAAATAGGAATCTTTGGAAGCAACGGGGTTTAACGATTAGTTACAACGGGATAATAGAGAACATACGCCCGAAAAACTTGGAGAATAAATTTGACGTCGTCAGTTTTCTTCAATGGCAAAGTTCGCTGCAATAGCAATTCTGACTTGTTACTGGAGGTACGAATTACTTTCCTTCCGTGTTCTTCGTATTTCGATCTGAAAAGTTATAGAGTCTCGTTGGACAAGCTGGAAGCTAACAGTAAGTATTATATCGAGATCGTGCGAAGCACGGATACCAGTCGAAATCGATATAGAACCCTGACAAACAGGGCTCGTGTCTATAACGCGTGAACCTTCTTCTGTCAATAGTAACCATTAATCTTTTAACGTTCCGGTTCTGGTCAGGTTTGAGGAAGGCAAGTTTACGGTCCTCCCCTTTCCTGTATTGCTATAATATTAATTACACGATATACGATATACGATATACGATATACGATATACGATATACGATATACGATTTTTGAGAAGCCATTGCTACACTGAACTATATGCTGAACGGGTTAATTAACCGATTAGTATTCTACTACTTCCAATATTCTTCATTAAAACTGCAGCGTGAATTGGTACAATTCTCCGACTGAACTTACGATTCAATGAAAATAAAATGATCTATAGCGTTTGGTTAGGTCGAGCCTCGTTTCGTTTTGGTGCTGCTTAATCAACATTGATCCGAGAGTCTCGGTGTAGCCGACAATTGACAGGTGCGGTATAAAAGTAAACTCATCGTGACTACTTCCAAGAGAATGATTGTCAGGCAAAATAAAGTAGGAGAAAATATGTACAGGCGTGGATATGCAAATGAGTTTATCTAATTACCGAGACTCGGCATAAGCGTGACATTACTGCAGCACGATTATCTAGATGACTGTAGAAACGATAAAACACAAGAGTAGTTTCGAAATTCAAAGTATTCGTTTCTTTTTCCTTGAAGCTATAGTCTTCCTTCGTTTCACACTAGGAGCAACTTTTAGTCCAAGTGCTTTTATAAATAGAACCTGCGGAATATTAGGCATACACGGAGAATTGAACGTGCTGGAAATGAACATTTCAAGAAAACGATGCTTCAGTTGGAAAAAATGTGTTTTTCATGGCTTCTAGAGCCTAATTAAACAACTTGAATGCACACAATGCACACAACTGAAATGTACCTGCCGATTCTCTATAAACTTTCGATCGACTGTACTTTGTACCTATTGTAAAATGCTACCGATTTAATAACCATTATTACGGAAAACTTATGGACCAACTGAAATCGGTGGGGTTCAGGAAGTGGCGAACGAAGAATACGGGAAAACGACCAGACAGAAATTTCTACTACGCTCGAGATTCCTTGGAAATTGTTTGCCTCGCTTCCTACGAAATTCCGGTCAATCAACGGCTTTCATTTTCCCTGAACGATCAGTAAGTCGTTCGGAATGCTCGAGACACAGTGTAGGATTCGTCGAAATCAATCTTGATTTCAATTGATTTCGAATCACGACTCGAGACAAGTTCAAGACTACCAGAGTTTCAGGTGAGTTTGAACCGAACGCGGCTAATAACGAATAACCATTTCCACTTGCGTTGTGAAATATTATTTCGATGAAACAGCAATTATAATATTTTGTCCGTTGCGATTTCGAGTGTCCGCAACAATGTTGTCGTTTCCGTTAGCCACGCGGCGAGAACACGGTCGTGACTAGTAAATAAATTCGAGTGTTCGGCGCGCGGTCAGAAACCAAACGACTTAATCGCCGATCTGCACGCCGTCGGCCGCAGGAATTTATGCAAATCACGGTATCCGCCAGACTTCGCAATTGCGCTCGCGCCGGTTCAAAGATAGCGCTGACAAATTGGCCCCAGATTAAGGGCATTTTGGAGAGGCATGCACGGTAACCAGGTAAATAAGGCTAAGGTATAAGGTTCGAAACTGGGTCTGCGACCCTTACCACATGACCACGGTTGCCGCTGTCGCCGTTTTCTCGCGTTCATAGTAGTACATTTTCCTTCGTACACTTTTCTTTAAGACAACGTCAGCGTTCACGGATGTACGCATCGATACTGTGCCGACTGCATCTTTCTAACACAGAAATGGGCCTTATTTGCTCAAATAGCAACTATTTTTCTATTTTTCTATTTTTCTATTTTTCTTGTATTGTATATGCCATCTGTCGGATACAGTGATAATAGCCCACTTTTCGAACGTAACGAAAATGAAAGAATCACTACGTACGTCGCAATCGAACAGTTGCCGATCTTTCATTCAGCTTCTGTGATTTTTTAATGGACAATGTTAAACGTACTACTTGTCCATTTCCAAAACGTTAATACGAAATGGAAGATTGCTTGTTGTCGTGAGAATGTGAGAATATAGGCTGATTCGAACTACGTAGTCAATAACAGGATGTACAAAATTTCATTCGATCCAGTCCTGTTCCAAGAAAAATATACCGAAGCTGCAGGTGGAACGATTCGTCTGAAAATATCTGTTCCCCATCGGTATATTCCGTCATGATTACCGACGCGCATCCGAAAAATCTTGACGAAGATTTCAGATAGCGTTTCGTGCGAAAGGGAAATATGTACATGGCATTGAATCCTTTAATAGCTGGACGATATTTTCGAGTAAGAGAAATAAGTCTGCAGAAAGATGAAACGAGTAGCTTGACAAAGTGCTTTCGAATAGCAAAGTATGCTACTTGGCAAATCAGAAATAGCATTTCACTATGCATTATACAATTGGAAGCATTTCACGTAGTAACCTTGCAAGCATCAATATCGTGACGCACAGTCGTTAATAAATGACACGGAGTACGTTAATATGCATTTGTCGAAACGTTCGTCACTATCGACTATAACTATCGACGATTCTACCAAGAATAAATATTTTTCTCCAGTAGGAGAGTAATGGAAGTTGGCGGGAAATTGGGCGATTGCTCGCGTCATAGTGGCGCGATAGGGAAATAAACGGCGAGGGACACAGAACGCAAACGATGTAATAAACCATTTGAAAATCCTCCCGAGGTATTTCTCTCGTTAGGGCAACGAGCGATGGATTCGAGCGTTTTTCACTGTCTTCTTGAGCGCAACGTATATCCTTAAACCGTAGAAGAGTGAAACCGATCGGTAGCTACTCGCGTAAGTGTTCAGTATTTATCGAAATAAAACGGCCTGCAGGGTTCGTTTTCGTTCGTTTTCGTTCGTTTTCGGTCGTTTTCGTTCGTTTTCGTTCGTTTTCGTTCGCAGAAACGCAACAAGCTGAATCGTCTGTTAATGGCCTTCCAGGATGGAATATCATTATTGCTTTTTATGCAACAATTTTTACAACGCCGTGACACGAACGCGACTCGCGTCGCCTCATTTGGCGGTAATTTCCGCAGCACTCGAATCAAGCACCATTCCGCCGGCAGGACTCGCGCGCGTGCTCTTGCCTCGTTACCGTGTATACAACAT